CTCTATCCTTTACAATTTGTAATCCTCAAGTTTTACGTCAACAAATGAATGTAGGAAAGGAGATATCCTCTTTCGCTTCTAATAAGATTGTCCTATTGTTTGAAAATACTGTCAGCAACCTGACTATTTACCATACTCGGTGTGCTTAAGTAATTCAGTCAGTGGCCAAACCAAATCACCGTCCAAATCTTGAGTATCTTCATTTTACGGAGGCGGTTGGCTCCCCAATTCTTGCTGATCGTTTCACGTGGTAAAGATCGCAAGAAAGCCTGTTTTAGGTGAGGCAGCTTGTAGTAATCGACCAATTCGCGGTCAACAACAGCCGAGCCGCGGCGCACTGCATGACCGACGAGGTTGTATGAATAACACCATTCCTTGTGCGTCTTTCGAACTCGTAGCCTTGTTTCCTACCGGTCCTCCTTTATACGCATATTCCTCTGAGAACGTAGTATGACCTGCCAAAAGTGGTATTTTCTGCAAGGTTTTAGCTTCTTTGAGTAATTGTTGATGTTATCCACCTAGAGGGTTCTGCTTGAGCTAATCTCCTCCAAAAGAATAATTTACCTGTCGATGGACAAAAAGAGATTTCCACTGGCTTTTACATTCACACCACTACTACTCTCTGTTTTCTTTCTTCAGGAGCACTTTTTGTACTACTGGAAAGCCGAATGTAAGTTCTTTGGCATAAAAACTTCTGTTTTTTCTACTCAATTATATTTATGCCCTGGCATAATCTTTACGTCAGTGTTGACCCGTGAACGCCCACAGGAATTCTGACAAGTTATACCGCTGTTAAAGCGTCCTTTTTTTCGATTTCACAACCATTTGTCACTCGCATGAGATAGTATAGTCGTTCAACTGTAACACCCGTTCGGTGCCTAGCAGCCATGCCACCCAAATGGGGCACGAGGGCTGGAATGCTGTCAGGTTGCCCAAGCCTAGACAGGAGAAGTCGAGAGGCAGAGGTCGGGTTCGCACAACCGACCTTCCGGTCAGTAAATTCGCGCTCTAACCGGTTGTCACTCCCATGGGTGTACGGTAACCCGATTGGTTGGTATATCACTCAAGTTTTAATCAAGCTGGTCAGCACGCCAGACAAAAATCCGAAGCTTGATTTCCATATAATAGAAAAAATGAGCTGACGACTGACTAATTTAGCCAACGGAAAGGGGATGTTAACTTTCATAACCCCCCGCTGCAAAAGACCACGCAAAAACAAACAAGCACTGCACGCCAAGTAACGTCACCTTTTCATTCTTTTCGAGTGCATAGCGTGGTCAATGTCCAGTAAAATGAACAAAGCGCCAGCGAAGCCAGATTATACCGGACAAATGAGACATTGTGGCAGTTACTTCTAGTTCAGAAAGTGAGAGAAACCAATCAATCCCTCAGTTAGTCAGTCACATCAAAAGATAACAGCCACCTTGAAAACGATATAAGAGCAGACAGACAGGGAGGAAGCATCCACCCAACCAAGCACCGATTTTGTCCTTTTCACCAGTGACGGAACATCGGTCAGCCAAATGACAAACTCGGTGAACATATAAACAGTCATCTGAGCAACAGTCAAAAAGGCGCTCTACTAACATGCGTCATACATCTGCGCAGTATGGATATGTTTGCACATAGAAATTTCATTCTCGAGGGGCACCCTGGATTCATGAGTTTTACGCCGATAGACTTGCCAAATCGATATCAGACGAGTGGAGTTCGATACGAATAAAAGCCCCCTGACCAGTAACCAATAGACGCCCTAGAACGAGCAAATTTCGGGCCACAGCGCCTTCTTGCGCATTCTGAATCAACACTCACCAAGCAGGTTATAAGCTGTAAGTTACAAGCAAAATCCGAAGCACCGGGTTGGTCCGTACTCTTTAAGATTGAGGGAATGAACGCAGGATCAAGTTTCCTTTACTGTCCAACCTCCATGACGATCACAAACATCACTCCTGGACATGTATCAACGTACAATTTAAATATCGCTTGGAAGTCCCAGGAGCCAAAATAGTAAAATACCGAGTTCACTTTGATATGTTTTGATAATTTCTTCTCAATTTTACTTGTTTGTGTGGTAATTGTGGATCTGAAGTGGCGTGCCGGTGATATGAAAGCAAACAAGCAGGAATCATCATTTGGTCAAGTAAGTTATTCTATATCCAGAAGATGGCCAAAATTGAGTGGCTAGCCTACGAAAAAATACAGGCAACCTGGTGTAGTTCGTTTCACTTAATCCGTTAATAGAATCAAATTAAGATACCTGTCTGCCAACGTTAGTCGTATTTTTAATAAACCCTTTAACAGATACATTTTATTGCAGGCAGACTTGGTTGCGACACATGAGGACGTTGTCACAACCTAAAGGCATGAAATCTTGAAAAGCGTTGGTCAGACTCAAACCTCTTATTGCTGTCGTACAAGCATAAACAACATGAAGATCACATACTTTGTGTTATCGTGAACACTCATCGAATAGTCGGTCTTAACTGGACTTGCCGGGTGATCAACAGCGTTAGTAATTCGTCAGTATGCCGAAATATTAGTAGTTCGGGTGCATTAACAGGCTGCTGATCGGCTGCCAAGGGATTCGCTAAACTTCAGGTTACAGTGGGGACCATTAACATTTCCACATTCTATTACACTGTTCCCGACCAAAGCCTCAGCATGCCGAGAAACATTTTTTCTCGCACCAAAGCGGGTACTCCTTCCCGATTTAAGCAATCACTATTTAGGCTCTGTTTTTTAAATAACTTACTGCAAACTCCCTTCATATGTCTTTGTGTGTACTTTGGCCCTTCTCTAACAGATATCCTCTCTCTCCCCGTTTAAAACGCATTCACTCAGGTCCTGTAAGAGTTGGCTTGAAATCGACAGAATACCCTCACATGCATTTCCAATTATCCTCTTTGAATGAGATCTATTCATGATCAAGGTTTACAATGTTAAATAACTGTACTGATCTTTCGTGCGTTTTGAACAATGCTCTGAAGGCAAGATGTCCCCTCCTATAATGACTGAAGGTTCTTTTATATGGTTCACGCACACAGCTACTACAGTGTACATTCCCTATGAATACCGCTCTCAGATAAGACCACCTGTGGTCAGTAACTCTGAGATCTTCTGATAGTCAACTCTTGCTTATAAGAGGTTAATTATCATGGACGACCTGTGATGAGCCCATGTGGACATGGTTCAACGAAAGCATGGACCTAATACATTTCCTTGTCTCTGGAATATTGCTTGAAAAACACCCATCCGTAATGATCACTCAAAGTCCAGGTTTTTAAAGAAAAAAGTTAGACATATTTTCCACTTCATGGTAACATCCCGAAGTGATTTTTCCTGCCGGCTGAGCCCTTCTTGAGGGACATTCACCGGTGAACTAGAGTTTAGAAATTATGCGAGGTTCACTTGCAACAAAGGCTGGCTTTATGGTTGGATATTTATCCTATTTGAGGGTGCATCACAAGCTTACCGTACGAACTTCAGTAGTTGACTGTCACATTACCATAATTTGAGGTAAATACTCTATTTTTTGCCCATGCCTTTGACAGTGAGTCCTCTTCACTGAGGAAGGCTATCTACTTAAGGAATTAGGCCTTCCCCACAAGTGGCCATTGTTCAGGAGCACTACTATGTATACATATCCTCGAAAGTACTGCAGCCTTGGGTGTAATATGGACTTTCACCAACGCAAACGTGAAATCGATTCCATGCCTTCTGTACAGATACGGTGTATTGGACGTGTATGACCTGCACTTCAGAGCGTCTTATAAACTCATCCAACAATAAATTTTGCCAAGGTAGCTCCTACACACTTCTATCACTTTGCCTGTCCTATCAATGTCTTTAATTAAGCAGTTTTCCCCTTGCTTTGCGCACCAAACGGAGCTGGCAGTTTCATGCTTTTAGGAGGCTCCTGATCATATTACTCCAGTCGAGTTCAGCGACAGTGTTGAATGACGAAGTATTTTGAAGCTTGGTATGAGGGCTCGTGGTTGAATGCACTCAGTATGCCGTGAAAAACAGCGCCAGATCCACAAAGCTGAAATCGGTGAATCTGGGGGTGGATATCAAATAAGGGAAAGGAATGGTCGAATAGTGCTATAAGTTACTGAAGCTGGGAGAAAACTTACACCGAATTTTAACTTACTTTTTGTATGCAGAGCTTGGTCCACTTCGATTTGTCTGACGAACTGAATAAGATCAAGAAAGTTGATCAAACGCTGAAAGATATGTACGTAGTAGCTTTGTTTCTGCTCGGGTGTTAAATTGTAGAGCTCAAGTGTATCGGTCCTGGTCAGTGGAAGATTGTCCAAAGACGAATGATTTCACACTCTTTGACCGGAAAAGCAACTCTCTCTCCAAAGGACCTCTTAGATGAATACTGTTCGAGAACTACACTCATTTTCAAATCAATTTGGTTTTTAGGAGAGACTCAACTGAATCTCTCGTTTATGATATTCTACAACTGAATGTGCTGCACACAGGCCGCCTCATGATTCAGTTGGCACGAAAATATACTGCGATATCTCGAATATCGTGCAACACATTCAGTTGTAGAATATCATAAACGAGAGATTCAGTTGAGTCTCTCCTAAAAACCAAATTGATTTGAAAAAAAGTGAGTGTGGTTCTCGAAAACAGTCCAATTTGGTTTCAAGTAGAACATAAGGTTGACGGAAACTGTGAAACTGCGTCTACCTGATGAGCCCCAGAAGGGCGAAACCGGTCTTGGGCTGTCGAAGAGTTTTCAGCAACCTCGTGAGTAGCTTCCTTTATGAAAAAGAAAATTTTCTTCCACATCATTTTGTTTGGCTGCAGTGGCTGATCAGTGTTTTAGTAACTCGAGCCCATAGCATTTCGCGGTCTACAAGCAAGTCATATGGACCTAAGTAAAAAGTACTTCATTCGAAGAAGCAGCTGACATGCGACTGCACTACATGGATGATGTATCAGTGGCACTATATCTTGTTTAGAGGTATGTTAATCACATTTCCAATCATACAGCAATCCGGAAGGTGTATTCGAATTTCTCCAGGTTTCCGTGAGATGTGCCAACGATTTCTTACAGGAACGGACTGGCCGCCCTGTAGGCATTCCAACGTAGGTTAACTGTGATTACCTAGCTCAATCCTTATCCATGGAGCTGAGGATCTTACAGCCAAAAGACGATTAATGTTAGATATGCGAGGAAAAAGTGCTCTTATTTTGAGTAGTGCTCAAACTGGCACACAGCAGACGCCGTTACTTCGGTCCAGTTGCTACATTCCATCTTGAAGCAAGATACATCAACAAGCAATTGATCGCTTTGAGAATCGTTTATGAGTCGTAAGATTTTGTCGGTTCAAGGAAAAATTTGTACCGGCCGAGCTCTACTCTGAAGAGATTAACATGTTCTTCATGTTTCGGTTGAGGATCTGGTCTCGTTTGGTCATATCGACGAATCGCCTGTCTGAACATCCTGTATTGGGCTATTCTGAATACTGGCAGCAAGATGACAAATTCGCTGATGTCATACTTACTCCAGCTTAGATTCTGGACATATAGTAGTCCCCGAATTAACGTAAGGATTTATATTGAATTTACTGGTGGTGTTCCACCTCAATTCCAGAAACTAGAGCTATATTTTTGCTTTACTCCTACACTCCAAACTGCACGAAAGCACACTTA